ACAACACAAATGGTATTGATTTCCATAAAGTCAAGAGTCTTTTTCTGAAAACTAAACATGGTCTCAACAAAGTACAGCTTTGAAAACCAGGCTTAGAAAGGTTAGGTAGTATTTTCATCTATTCTGAATAAATACTTAGCAAATTTTCCATCCCTTTAGCAGCTCCCATTCACAAACCATTTATTTTTGTTTTTTAATCAGACTTTTCTTTGATAGAAATTGTAAGTGAAGCCAGCTGCAAGCAAGCTGGGTCTTCAGAAAAGCTGCAGAGCTAGACATGTTGATGATAATAAACTGAATTGGAATTTCTCTCATCTAATTTGTCAATCAATTTAAAAAAACATTTTCCTCTTTTTTTTAATCATCTATACTTGAAACCAAACATCAACTACAGTTGACTGAAAAGTACAGTATTTAGGACAAATATATTCTCAGGATGATGGATGGAGGTTAGAGTAAATGAACAAAAATGTCATATAAGGGAAATAGTTTTTCACATGGAATAGAAAGTAAAATGCAATACTAAGTATCTAGAAAGAGATTAAATATTATACTGGCAAACAACCAATCTGATGTGCAGAATTCTTGGAAAAGAAAATGGGAGAAAAGAAAGAGAATTCCCAGTACCACCGCAATGAGAATACTCTGTGTGTGTGTGTGATTGTGAGTGTGTGTGTGTGAGGTGTTTTCCTCCTTCAATTTTATTGCATACTTAGTCAGGGCTTTAAATAATAAAGTATATCTCAAGTTGAGTTCAACTCCAGATAACTTTATAGATATCTCAGGGGTTGCCACAAAGAAGAGGGAGTCAAGCTACTTTCCAAAGCACCTGAAGGCAGGACAAGAAGCAACGGATGGAAACTAATCAAGGAGAGAAGCAACCTAGAACTAAGGAGAAACTTCCTGACAGTTAGAACAATTAACCAGTGGAACAACCTTCCTCCAGAAGCGGTGAATGCTCCAATACTGGAAGTTTTTAAGAAGAAAGCAATTTGTCTGAAATGGTATAAGGTTTCCTGCCTGAGCAAGGGTTGAACTAGACTACCTCCAAGGTCCCTTCCATCATCATCATCATCAACATCATCATCATCATTATTATTATTATATGTTCATGTAGTTTCCTGGCAACAGTGCAGGAATGATTTGCCAAGACCCTCTTATGAGATGCTTTTTAACTTTCCTCTCAAGTACAAAGCTCTGAGATTTCCTAACAGTCTCCCTTCCAATTCCACCTGCTCAGCTTTATATATGAAAGCTGAATAAGATCATAAGCACAATCACAGATTTGCTTAGCAACCGCTTCGCTTAATGATCAAGCTGCTGGTCCCAATTGTGCTCAGTATGCAAGGACTACCTGAATTGCAATTTAAAGTGCTACTGAGGAAATTGCAACAAAAAAAACCCTCCTTATTGTTATGCTGTAAGGATATATGGCAATTCCAATTCTGTCATGTTTCACCTTGACAAGCTTCAAAGTTGTAAAGAGAAATGGTTTTATGGAATTCAGGATCAAATATAAATTCTCAATGTCCCTGGAATGATTTAGACAGATTCTGTTCATTATTAGATTCAGAATCCATGATTTATGAACCTACTTTGAATCCAAATTTATTTATTTTTTAATTCATTCATTCATTTGCACCTAGTCTTCAATATTTTTACAAATAACTGAAGGTGGCAAACATACCCAGTATCTTCCTCCTTTTATTTTGCATGAAGCATAAAATGCTGTTGTGCTGAATCTGAGTGAATTGACAAAATGTCCACTTTTTCCAGTATAGTAGCCTCGAAAATGTGCCCACACAAAAATGAATTTGTCTATTTAAGAACAGATAGAATTGCAGCAAGGCACAATGTATTTTTAAATTAATCCTATGCCAGCTTTTACTTAGAAACAGTTAACTATCTTCACTGGGAAGATAGGAGCAAAGAAACACCACAACAGCTGGCATGACTAGGCAGTTATCAATGAAAGAGAAGAAGAAATTAGGTGGCCAGATTTGATTCTATAACCCATAACAAAAAATGTTTCTTTCTTGCATATAATTCTATGTAATCCATGGCACACGGCAAACCCTTAAATGCCAGCCTACCATACAGATTACTTTACAGATTACTACTGTTACATGTTTATATAAATCATTCTTGAACTTCAGAATCCCAGTGAATGTTTGGCAGGCAAGCTGCCTCAGTATAAGTAGGCTGTATTCCTGCATTTCATTTCATTCAGTATGCAACCTAATCTCCACTACATTATTACAACGTAGTGTTTACAATTACAAGAATAAATAACAAGTTGCTGCTAACAACAAACTAAATCTAACATACATATCTATAATCCAACTCACAGCTCAACAGCCATCCCATAAATGAGCTCTGAGAAAGTATTATACATTCCTCAAAACAAATGTCAAACTTATAAGCATTTTTCAGAATAAAAAATAATCAAATTCCTAGATGCCCATATCTAGCTTGTAGGAGTGTGGTACGTAGGAAAGCAAAAGAACAGAATGCACATAGATTAATATTTTTAGTCTATAATCTTTTCTCCCATTTGGGGATGTTTAGAGATGTTCCTGCAGATTTCATAACACGTTCTATTTGGTGGTGTCTGATTTTTCTACAAAAAGTCCACAGCTGTATGCTTCAAACAAAAATTACAACTAATAAAATATTAATGGAAATGTTTTTGTTTAGGTAACCCGGTGAGAAGTAAGCTGCCAAGGATATTTCTAGATGTTGCCCTATGTTTCCAAATATTTACATATTAGTTTGTAGGAAAATGCTACCTCACCTACTAATATGACAGCAAACAAATGACATAGGTGGGAACATGACCTTGAGATTTGTAATACAGTCCTAAGCTTTTCTCTACATGAGGTCATGAGGGGAATTATGCTGGTCACATTGTACCAAGGACCCCCTCTGCTGGTCACAATACATAGCCACCCTAATCAAAGCTCCATAAGTTATGACTAAGGTGAAAGAAAGATAGCACAGATAGGAAAGAGAAGGCTAAATGAATTCCCAGTTTAAGTTCTGGCCCAAATACTTTTCATAACACTCTTATGTGTGAAGAGGGTATATTACACATATTAAAAGACAGATGTTTATATGTTTTTCAGTAAAGTACATTGCCATTTTTAACACAACTAAGCATTATCATGAGGCATGAAACAAATTAAAACCCAGGAATCCATAAACAAACAAGTAAATATATTATAAATATCACTGCGACTGCATTTTGATGACTTCTCTCCATTGACCTTGGTTTTGTCTCTTTAACTGCAAAAGTTGCATTGCTCTAAAAATCAAATCTAAAAAACTATCCGCCCTGTCATAAAATGAATAAACATGAAGTTATTGAAAAGAGCAGACTAATACAATCTGGAAATGATACTCTTCAGCTTGTACATTTTTTGAGCTAGATGTTTTGCTAATTTTAAATCCCTGTAATATGATACACTGCAGGCAATGTTCTTTTTCAAAGAAAAAAGCAGGCAGCCAAAGTGAACATGAGCACTCACTTCTGCTTTTGATTAACTATCTTAATGATTTAGTAAAATGACAGAGAGCATAATACAACATTAAGAGTTATCTGAACCAGGTGTTTAAAGATTCTTTTTATGCTATACAGCACTGGGATATTATTTAATTATTTATTTTGACCACTGCACTAAGATTTAGTGTTTTTAACTACATAACTATCACACCATGGAAAAGCTTAAATGTTCTTAAATAGAGGACATTGTCACATACACAATCACACCACGTGTAGCTTAGGTGCTTTTTACTACTCTATTGTTTGCTTATTTGTTTACTTGAGTCTCTTGTTCAAAATATTGACTAAGCAAGCAACAGGAAAAATTGAAAATAGAAACAAAACATGGAGCCTGTACCAAATCTGCTGCAAAGTACTTGATCAAACAATTGTATAATTTTGCAGAAAGCACATACGTACCTGATTTAAATGCAGAACCGTCAGATGTAGCCAGACAGCATCAAAAGAAAATAGCAGTACTTTTAGCCTATTACATGAAAACTTAATACACATGCCTGAAATTTTCTGATATTCAGGCATCAATTCAGGTGACAAAAAGTACCGAAGTTGGGCTGAGGATAGTTATAGTACACTGCAACATTAGTTTGCAAAATAAAGTGGACTCTAAACTTCGCTTTGATAGGAGCAATTGCATCAATGTGTTTGCTATAGAGGTTAATAAAGTCCATGTCATCATTCCCACTAACACACTATTAGCCTTTAAAATTTCTTTAATCTCAAAGCCATCTCTGGTTAGAAAACGAGGGTATGTGTTTCAATGGATGTTATGTCCACACTTTGAACAACAGAGCAACGTCAATTGCTGGAAGGGAAGAGACAAATAATGCCAATTTACAAATGATCCAGTTCTCCTTATTCAAGGAACTACCTCTGATTTCTATAAATGGGCTCAGTTGACAACTGGAGAGAAAGGCTCAAAATAAAATTTCATGATCAAACACTTCGGGAGAACTCATAAACACTCCTCCAGTGAATTTTTGGATCTCAGAAAGAGAGGAGGAGGCAAGAACATAAAAAACCTCCCTAAAGGCCAAGAGAAGGCTACAGCTTGAGATAAAGAAAGCAAAAGCAAAAGCAGGACTACAGTCACCTTCAAGCTTCGAATTTTGAGGTATATCACAAAATACTCTTCCCCAAGTTGGTACCCTCCCAGGTGTTTTAGAACTACAACTCCCATGACTCTCAGGTTTTGTAATTAATGGCTGAGAATTATATGAGTTCATGTTATTTAGTTTTTTATTTTTAAGTTGTTGAAACCCCTTTGCTCCAGAAGCAACATACAAAGCAAAACAGTTGTCCCAAAATTTCCCCCGAGCATCACCTTAGAGAAGGCTGCCATAAAATAAAAGGTCTACTCAAAAAGTGCCCTGAGATGTTTCAATAATGCCACCAACTCTTGTCCAGCAGCCCCTCCCGGACCAGTCCTTTTAGCCCTTACCATTCTGCCTGAGAACCTCTCGATGGCCCTCTTGACTTTGCCATAGGTACCCTTGCCCAGCGTTTCTTGCAACTCGTAGCGATGTTTCAGGTTGTGTTTGTGATGGTGCCTCTTGACCCCTTGCTGCTGCTGCTGCTGCTGCTGCCTCAGTTCCTGTTGGGGAGCGCTGACAGGGCTGACGGCCGAAGCAGCCGAGTCCCCTGAAGAAGGAGCCTCCGCTGCGGACTCCTCCATAGCCGCTCCCGCCGCTTCACGCACAGTCCGCGCAGCCTCCCGGCAGCATCGCTGGGGAGCTTCTGTGCTGCTGCCATCCAGCGCAGTCCTATCCATCTCCCGCTCGGGCAGGCGTGCGCCGAGAAGGCACTAGGAGCGGCGCGGGAGGAGCCTCGGGGTCCCTCCCTTCAGGCGGGCTCCGCAAGGGCTGCCCTCATATTTCGGGGCGGGAGGGGAGAGAGGCCGAGAAACCGGAGGCCGCAGCGCCCTCCTCTCACTCCCTGCTGGGGTACCTAGAAAGCAATTACTAAGGCGGAAATTTGGGGACGGTGAAAGCGGCTGGGCCGGAGGGGCCCCGGCTGCACCCGGTCCTTTGGCGGAAGACGCTTTTCAGTTGGGGAAGAAAAAGGGGGGGAAAGCAGTACCCCCCTCCTTCGTCTTTCTTTCTTTCTTTCTTTCTTTCTTTCTTTCTTTCTTTCTTTCTTTCTTTCTTTCTTTTTCTTTTTCTTTTCTTCCTTTTTTCCTTCCTTCCTTCCCCTCTTCTTTCTTTTTCTTTCTTCCTTCCTTCCTACCTTCCCCTCCCTCTTCTTTCTTTCTTTTCTTTCTTTCTTTCTTTCTTTCCTTTTCTTCCTTTTTTCCTTCCTTCCTTCCCCTCCCTCTTCTTTATTTTTCTTTCTTTCTCTTTCTTTCTTTCTTTTTCTTCCTTCCTTCCTACCTTCCCCTCCCTCTTCTTTCTTTCTTTCTTTCTTTCTTTCTTTCTTTCTTTCTTTCTTTCTTTCTTTCTTTCTTTCTTTCTTTCTTTCTTCCTTCCTTCCTTCCTTCCTTCCTTCCTTTCTTTCTTTCTCTTTCTCCTTCCTCCGGCCCGCAGCCGCCTTCAAAAGGGATGCGGGACGAAGCCTAAGCGCGTCCGGGTTGCGGTCTCGCAAAAGCCCAATTTCCCCGGCGTTCGTTCTTAGGGGCAATTTGGAGGCGGCGGGGCCAGGGGGCGGGGGCGGCCATGTCAGACTCCCGAGGCGACATAAAGCAGCGCAGAGCCGCCTCTCCCCGTCAGTGCTGTCAGCGAGGCGGCGGCTGATTTGGCCATGAGAGGCGCTGGGGAGAGCTCGCCACGCCTCGGCGACTCACAGCCAGCGACTCGGAGGCGGGCGAGCCGGTAGGGCCGCCCCGCGCGGTGCCTGGGCTGGGAATGAGCCGGGCGTGGCGCGGAGAGAAATCGCTCTCGGAAACTAACGGGCCGGGTGGGAGCCGGGGACCTCCCCTTCCGAGCCTGGCCTCCGATCTGGGCGGGCTCTTTAGGGCAACCCCCGAAGAAGGAGGGGAGACGAGACGAATCGGGGATGGAGGATCCAGCCGGCCTTTGTGCCAAAGGATGTTGCATTATTCCGCCCGAAATACACGGAAAATTTACAGGCTTCAAAAGAGACTGGCCAATTTGTGGTTGCCTGCAAGCAGGGGGTACCTCAGAAAGCCTCTCAGCCCTGGAGATGTAGATGGTTATGGAGAAAACAGATGGAAGCAGTCATTTGATGACAGATTGATGACAGATTTTGGAAGACTCCCGGTACAAAAAAGTATACCCCACACCAGAAGTGTGCAGGCAAGCCCGGAAAAGGGTATTCTCCTTCCCATTTTTTTTTAAAAAAAGAAGGAATACTGCATCAGTATTTATACTTCAGGTCCATGTCTTTGCACTCAGATGGGGTCCAAAATGTTTGGAATCATACATTTTATATTTCATTATGTTCAGACACATATGATTTTTAATAACAGATTACTAGGTAAGGTAATCTGAGATAATATTAAAATCATATAACATGATTAATATAACATCATATAAATAATATAAAATCATATAACACTTTTATTTGTAGGATTCTACAATTGTTGCATATTGTAGAATAGTAATATTACTATGGGGTAGTCCATGAATAGAATAGAATAGAATAGAATAGAATAGAATAGAATAGAATAGAATAGAATAGAATAGAATAGAAGGGACCTTGGAGGTCTTCTAGTCCAGCCCCCTGCTCAAGCAGGAGAACCTATACCATCTCAGACAAGTGACTATCTAGCCTCTTCTGATAATGTTACCTCAGATTCGTCATGCAAGAAAACAAGATTACCTCCATCTTTGTGTCACAAAAAGGATCATTTTGCTCCGCTCCAATATTGTCCAGCCAGGACCATCTCTTGTACCCAGGAGACTCACACACACATTTGCAGGATGACATTTAATAATGTTCTTTCTTGAATGTGTAACATACTGGATTCCTCTTCCATAAATAAGAATTGAAAATCTTCTTATTTATGGAAAACAAAAGAGATCTCCAGAAAGGACTTAAAAGTGGGTATTCTCTGTAGGAACTCTGATCCAGTGGAACAGCTAATGCCAGATGTGAGAATGCCCCCTTTTGGTCATGATTTTCTGAAAAATTGTTTCAACCTGGCTATTCTGGAAGGCTTTGGGGGAATAGAATAGATTAGTGATATGTTGTCTGAAGCACTATGATACCAACTGTTACATTATTGCACTGCATTGCATTGGAATCTTATGTTATCTTAATCTAATTTATTATTATGTCGAAAATGTGTATGTTTGCTAAATAAATAAATGGATCTAAGAAAAGTTCTCAAATATTTTAATTATTGGACCTGTAAGGCTTCCACAGGTGCTCTTATCGTACTGAATGGGTGGATTTTCATTTAGGATAGGTAGCCCACCTATACCTAACTGGACAATCAAGGATGCCATCATAGAGTCCCCTTACCTTCAGAAACAGGTCAATGTGGGAAGAAGTTGCCCTTGCAGTTTTGAAGCCCTCACTGCCTTCCCAAGTTTGGAAGTTCTTAGGAGATGCACAGATTTGGCACAAAAACCTTCCCCAATTTGTTTTAATTTAGTTTAGTTTTGCATAGAAGGGAAACTAGGTTAACTGTTAGGCAAAAAAATCACCTTCTGAGAAATCAAAATATGGATTTTCCAGCCTTATCATTATCACTATTTCTTGATGCAACCATATATTACAATCTTCAAATAGGAATGCTATGGGATGGACTCTGTTTGCTCCCTCATCCTGTGGTGCTTTTTTTTCTACTTAATCATCAGTACTTTCTTTCACTATCCACCCACCCTACCTTCCTTTCTGGTCAGTTATGTTCCTACCGATAGTAGACCATTTGAAGGATTTTGTGAATTAAAACCTAACAGTCTTTTTCTATCAAATATGTTTAAGGAGAGACTTGTTTAGAATTCTTAAATTAAATTAGGTACTCCCTTCTCTTTGCTATCTGTTTTCATTTCACAATAGGTTATAAGAAATGAGAAACAATCCAGCAGATCATTAAGCTTTCAAATGTTAGCTATATAGATTAGTAGGCTGTCAAATTTGGAACATTACTTTTTTACTCCTGATTTGCTTTAGTCATATATTTTTCTCACCCACACATCATTAGCTATGAGTTAGAGCTATCAGACTTTCACTCTTACCGATATATACTATAAATCTTCAGGAAATATACATTTTCTTCAGCACTCCTTTTGCACTCTATATATCAGTCTCTTTTCTGCTTTAATCTAGTCCAGGGGTCCTCAACCTTGGCAACTTTAAGACTTGTGGACTTCAACTCTCAGAATTCCTCAGCCAGCTTTGCTGGCTGAGGAATTCTGGGAGTTGAAGTCCACAAGTCTTAAAGTTGCCAAGGTTGAGGACCCCTGATCTAGTCCAACGCCCTGCTCAGGCAGGAAACCCTATACCATTTCAGACAAATGGCTGTCCAGTCTCTTCTTAAAAACTTCCAGTGTTCGAGCATTCACCGCTTCTGGAGGCAGGTTGTTCCACTGGTTAATTGTTCTAACTGTCAGGAAGTTTCTCCTTAGTTCTAGGTTGCTTCCCTAGATTGCTTCTCTAAAGGAACTCTATGTGTAACATGTAGCTCAGTATTTTAATTATTTTAGTTTGAGCAAAGTTGATTTTCTTTAGCAAGCATATTCTATTTTCCATGACCTTTTTGAGCCAGTTCTCTATATACAAAGAGAAATGATGTGGGAGAGCTGCATACAAATTTAATCTCAAGATAGGAAGTTACATGAAATTGGCTTCTAAGACAGAGCTCTGTGTGACTGCATGAATTCTCAAAGAGATGCTGCAAGGAATATCCATCAAAATGTTGCATTGCTACAGAAATCAGAGCCATTTTGCTGACAAAAAGGAAAAGCCAAGAAACTTGCTTTCTTGTGCTTTTTCAAAAGTACAGCCTTCAGCCCTACAAATTTACCCACATCTTTATGTGCAAAGATTTTTTTACTAAAAACCCAGGAACAAATCTGTGTGAATGGAAATCTGTCTCACAAACTGGGTGGGATTTAAATTGATCTGCATATCTTTAGCCACAGCAGTAAGGTTTTAATCAAAGGATTAAGAAAAAATTAGATTTCTTAACCATATTAGATATTCCCGAAAGCTGGAGAATTTATCCCACAGGCCATCACAATGAAAATAGCAATAATATTGATTATCAATAAGAATATATATGCCTGGTAATGCCACCTTTCAAATGGATGAGTCATGGAGTAGAGCATCTAATAATAGCCTTATTTCATGGTACAGCTATAGGTCAGGAAAACTCTTCTTTCTGTAAGTCAGATGCCTTCACCAATTTCCAGAAGCAGCTGCAAGCAGCTTCTAAGTAAACTGTCCATAAAACATGATAACAGCAGTGGAAATATTCTATGACGGATGATTCATACAAATAGATATAGAAGAAAGATGGAAATGGGCAGAGAATTTGCATGCATTTCTTGGAAAGAGGCTGAAAATAGTTACATGATAGATTACATTTTAAGGATTTTATTTTTGTGCAAGGCTGAAATGTAAACCTTTTTTCATAATTTACATGCTGTTTATGTGACAAAGCTATTCTTTTAACTAACTAAACTACTTCAGTTTATTCATTGTAGATTATGCTGAACCCAAAGAAAGGCAAAACAGAGCTAACAGATTCAGATTTGAACTATTTTTTAATCTGGTAAGTTCAAATAACTGTTGTTTAAAAACTTTAACTAATACATTAAAGAATAGTAGAGCAGACATGTCAAACACAAAGCCCGGGGGCCGGAT